CTGCCGTGGCAGTGGGTTTCGACCCCTCGCCAGCACTATCGCCTCGACGAATGCGGCTCAGAGGTTTCAGTCTTCTGGCAACCCCGCCACAACGACGCCGTCTAGCAGCGGCGGCGCCTCCATCGCGACGACGACCTTAAAATCCAATGGCAACCCGATCCAGCCGCCGTACGCAACTGAGGGCGGCCACGTGCCCATCTTCTCCATCGTGCACGGGCGTATCCAGAGGAGAAACTGGGTTGCCCGCAACCCCGAGTGGTGTGATCTCTGCAAGGAACCTGTGGCGCAGTGGGTGAACCACCAAAGCCGCAAAGATCACGCACTGATGGATATGCATTACACCGCCCTGGTGGAGTTCCCGCGGCGATGGAATCCGGAGGAGATCCTGCGCGTCTTCTCCGAGGAGCTCGGCGTGAATGTGTCGACCTATCACGCGCACTACGGGCTTTACGAGCGGAATCATCGGAATGAGATATACGCCATGATGCTGATTCTGGAGGAGGCCGGGATGCTCTACTTCGCGGAACCCAAGAATACCTACCTCTTTCGAATGCAGGGCGGGCTCCGTGGGATGGACCAGCAGGGCGCGCTGGTGCTCCATGAGTTCATCCTTGGGCCTTTCCTCCGACTCTACCCGGATGCCCAGATTCAGGATTTTTCCAATCTTGTCGACTTTGTGACCTGCTCCTATAACATGGAAACCGTCTACGACTTGTGTGGGTTCTACACCCTCGATAAGGTGGCACTTAAGGCGAACTATCGCCCCAGCTCCCCGGCGGCCCTCGGGCTCGGCGGCATCGCGACCGCGTCGTCCGCCTCGAGTGGTTTTGAAAGCCAGGCGGTGTTGGGATCCCCAACCCCCGGCGGTGAGGAAGAGGGCAATCGTGGCAATAGCAACAGCTTTGCTATGCGATCCCGCACGAAACAGCAGGAGGATATTGACGAGGAGGCTTTTTCTCGGAAAGCGATATTTGTCCGTCAGGTACTTGGGCAGCTGCGGTGGTTGACCACGCAAAACCGAGCGCACCCGGCGGGTTTCACCTTCCCGGAGCACATCATCACCCTTGGTGAGATCTGCCTGAAGTCCTTGGTGGTTGAGATCGTCGCGACACGGTTGTGTGAATACATGGTTCGTGCAGAACCCATTTGGCGTAGTTTCGGTTTTGAAAGAAAACCCCCACGGGTGCAGGAGCGGATGCGAAATCCCAATGATGTGGTGCCGGGGACGGTGATGTACCAATATCGGCCCATGTCTCCCAAGATGGATGACTTGTATATTGAAAACCCTGGCAAACTTGACAAGGAAGTGTGTGATCGGCTGCGAAAAAGGCGGTTGCCCGTTCCGCCGGAGTTTCCCTGTTGAAGTGTGAAAGAAACACTGCACAAATGTTCTAGTCTCATCTGTGATGTAAAGGGGTTTCAAAGGAAATGAGCCCCCCACACGCAAAAAAAAAAGAAAGATATCTTACCTCAAGCCTTGGCGCGTCCTTTGGGTGGGTGAACTCTCTGATATATATTATCTGCTACTTATTAGCATTTTCCTCTTGATAGAAGCACCCACATATATACATATAGGCGTATTTGTCATGCTGCAGCGCGCACGAGTTGTACGAATCGCTGGTAAATATTTGTATCCTGCCTCGTCGACGCTACCTCAGGACTTCTATGATTGTTGTCAACGTGTATTCAAAATTAAACTACATGAGGAAACTTTCATTGGTGAGCGTCCCTCGCAGGTACGTGGTCTTTTTCTTTCGGCATCACGTCAAAAGCCGCTCCGCTCGAACCAACTCATCGCTACGATTCCCCTCGCGACGCTCTATACAGAAAAGAACATCCACCAAAAGCCCAATACGCTTCATCACCTGAGGGTAGAACACGTACGAGATGCAATTGAGGACGAGGAGTTCAAAATCATGGCGCCACAGCTCTATATGGGAATGCAGATTGCTGCTATGACGGACGCGCTTCCCGAAATTGGCAAAGTCGCGAATGCCGAGGAATTCAAGAAGATCTCTGAAATTCTGCGGGGGGGCGCTAACCCATGGGCCCGCATGCTTGACGACGAGGACTTCAACGATAAATTTGTATATGGTATGTACGGCATGACTCTGGACACCTGGCAACAAAGTAGTTACAATGAGATGGTGGAGAAGTTCAATCGCAGCACAGCCCTAGTCCATGAGAAACTCAGACTCTCTTTTAAAATCGAGCACTTTCGCCGCACGGCACGTCTTGTGCTCGCACGATTAGAACACATGCTGCCAAGCGAATATTATAAAAGTAGCCCCTGGGTGCGGCGGTGGAAGCGCAGGTATCGGCTCTTATTTTGGCAGCGAGAGCCATCCGAACTTACGCTGGTGCCGCTGCTTGACCTGGTAAACCACAGCAATCGGCCAAACTGCGCGATACGCGTCGGACCCTCGGCAGTGCTCGGCGGCGATCCCGCTATCGCGCTTTTCTCGCTCACTACCATTGCCCCTGGGGAGGAGCTCTGCCGACACTACAACCTTGCGCTCAACCGCGCCAGTGCCTTATTCCGATATGGTTTTCTGCCCTTTGATTTGATTGCCATTGTCGACCACAACTCCGTGGAGGAGAACTTTGTGCGGAATCGACCAGAAATGAGGCTACTTGATGATAGCAAAATTGCGAGTCTGGAAGAAGAGAGGCGGGAGATTGAGCGACTGGAGGCGATATTCCAAAAGGCAAAGCGGAATCATTGAAAGGTGGTTGTCTGTGGGTGCCCAGATGCCACACTACCCCTTCCAGGGTGTCATCCTGTGGCAAAGCCGCACGCCTCAGCGTGCTGATAGGCCTTGGTATCCCAGGTTGAAGGATGGGGAAGGAGTGGGGGGCGTGGCCTGGTGAATGTAGCTCTACGCGGATGCTTCACTCAGCAGTTTTCCTTGGCTGTGGAATTCAAGTTAGTCCTCTCCCTCTCCACCACGCCGGAGAAGCGTCCCAAAGACGAGAAGACTACGACATGCCTCATCAATGGAGTAGTCTTTGTGGTCTGATAATGGAAAGTATTTCAAACTCTATCGTTTTCACTGTTTGGGGTTGGTCTGTTCAAATAACGGCGGTGAGGATTCATCTTCACTCAGGATGGCATCGCAGCCCGATTTGTCAATCGGCTGGATGAGGAAAGTGCACAAATCGGATTGTCCATTTGATCTAGTCCATATACACAAGTTTTTTTTTCGCCAATTATGGTACTCGCATACACCAGCATGATAATGCTTCGCATTCGAGTATCAACTCTGTCATTATCTTTTCAAAATATGGTATTTCCGGGATAATCATTGACGGATCCTCTCCGAAGCCATGCACTTGCATCTGAACCTCTAATGGTTGGCCAAACAGACGAGGCTAGAGCCCCTCTCCGTGGTTCATATGCGTGCTCTTTACCAAGGCTTCACATTGTTTGAAAAAAAATTCCAGTATGAAAAGCCGGCCGGTGCAGCTCTCTCCCTTTTGCAAGACTCTCTGTTTATTCTTATGGGTGAGTCTATGTCACCTCATATCTTCACCTAAATGGGTTGTGTAGGATACTCGATGTCTAGTGTGTCGCTATTGTCATGGATTTATCATCAGTAAATGCAGAAAGTCCCACCATTGTTCCCATTCCTCCTTCCTCTATTTTCGACTTTTCTCCATAAACTGTATGTCATCATACAGTAAAACAGCAAGGATAAAGAACAACACGATGGAGCCTGCAGTCAAGGAAAGTGTATCGCGCATTCCGCTCTTAAAGACGAAGGCCGGCCCACGCGACGGTGATAAGTGGACGACGCGCCTAAAGGAGGAGTACGTCTCGCTTATCAAGTATGTTGAAAACAACAAAGCTAGTGATTCGCATTGGTTTAATCTTGAAAGTAAT